CGTTGGTGACTTTTGACTTGGAATGTCGATTCCTTCTTCTGGAAGAGTGGCTTTCGTTGTTGCCTGGATGCTTGGGTGGGCTGTCCTCAGAACCTGGCCAAAGGAAGGAGAATACGCTGTCACCCTGGCTGTGGGGGGTTGAGGGCTCACTCCTCAGATTTGGAGTTCTCCCTGCTGGGGACCTGCCCGAAGTGTAGGCTCTTCTGCTGATACTTGCACTCCATCTAGTGGCCTCATGAATACACGAAGGCAAGGCCCAGAAATATAGCTTTCGCCTGCGTATGCAAGGAGGTGGGGATGGGGATGGGGGGGGCTTCCTGAAGAATTTTTACATTCTGCTGTGTAAGGTGGATTGTGCTCACGGTGATGGGCTCCAGAACGGAGAGGACAAATGACATCAAAGCACAAGGAAGAACAATGAAACCACAGGGGTGTCGAGTCTACTCTCACAACCAAAGGAGACCTCACCTAGATTTCCATGCCTTGACCCATTTACACACTAGAGCTTCTACATCCCCAAACTGAAAGGATTCCTGACTTTACAAAATTAAAGATAGCATGCCCTCTATCATCCGATCTAGAGAATACCTTTAAAAACCAGCCCCTGCTGCTCATGACAGCTCTGGAGCCTCCCACTGAAGATGCCAAAACACCTTCGTTCGAGATGCGCAGTCTGCAGGGACACACTTACTATTTGTTTGGGACCTCGGAGAAAAACTTGCACATCAGCCGGATGCTGAGCAGCCAGCAGGTGTCAGCCAGGCGGAGGGTGGAAGCGGAGGGGAGCAGGCTGGGGGTGGGCCTTCCACGTAGTGGGGTGTAAGGAAGGCTTGGGAGAGAAGCAAAACTGCCTGGCATCAGGCTGGCTCTGCCCTGAGGTTGAGCACATGGCCACCCTCCAGCCCAGCAGTCAAGCCAGACAGTTCTCTGCTCCAGGGCTCAGATCCAGGCCCTCCACCCAAGACAGCCACTAAAAACATAAGAAGTTCCCAGAGTTTTGGTCTCCATTGCAAGGGCCGTTTGGCTTAGTCCAAGGGATTCTTCTACCACTCTGAAGTTCTTTTTCTTTTTCTTTTTTTAATGATTCTGGCTACCTTTCATTTCAACATACCTCTACCACTGCTTACTTTCCTGCAGTCTTTTCACTGGAGAGGGGCTTAGAAGTGCCAAGAATTGATCTGTGAGGAGCTGGTTCTGAATGAGGGAGCCCCAGGGAACCCCTCGGCTGGCCAGTATCAGCATTCCAAAACAGGGTGCCCATCGACCCCTTGATTCAGGAGTCTCAGGAAGGGTGCCCGGCCACTTGGCAGACAGCATGCTTGCCTCTTCCCTGGAAAGGACTCTGGAAAGCTTGACCCCAAAAAACTCAGGAAAGCAGTGTGAACGGTAGTGCTTTCCTCTCCATGGGCCCACAGCTTCTTGGAGCAATTCTGTGAGCTCAAATTCACCATCTTGAGCATTCATACTTCTCTCCCTTCGGCCAAGCCTTCCGATCGGCTCATCAGAACGGACAAGAGATTACTGTCCAGTGGAGCCTCCTTGGTGTCATTCCACAAGCCTAATTCTTTAAAATAGCCAGGTGGCCCCAAATCTTTCCAAGAGGCTCCCTGCAGAGGCCAATGGGAAATTCCTGGCTCCACGACTGAAATCTCTCTTATACCGGGCTGCCTCTTGAATAAATGTAATTAAATCACTCCACCTCTTCTGAGAGACCTCTCCTCCCGGTACATAATTCTTCCTAACCCTTTTCACTCATGACCAAAGCCAGGAGGAAGAACATTCCCATCAGGATGCCTGAGACGGGTGCAGGCCTCGTGACATTTTCCCATCTCAGGAGAGGCAGAACCACACGGCGCCTCTTCTTATGAGGCAAGTTTCTTGGGCAGATCCTGCCAGTACTTGGCCGGTTTCACGAATAGGTAATGGAGGACATGTGATGAGCAGGTCTGAGAACCTTCAGGGCATACATTTATCAACATTCAGAGGATAAATATTGATTCCAAATCTCCTTATGGGGCCTCAGGAGGAAGAGAACTCAATAAAGTTTTTAAACAATGAGTGAGAGATACCTTTTGAGCCTTTCCCATGAGACCAGGAGATGTCTGGACTGTAGGTGCCATCTTCACACTCTGAGTACGTCTAGGGAGAGAGGGAGACTTAGTGATGGAGCTTCAAGTACTCCCCGGGGTGGGGCAAGGCCAGCAAGTGAGGCTGCTTCACCCCTGGGTCACCAGCAAGTGGCAGAACCTCCTCACACTCCTGTTCCTCAGCTATAAAACCACGACTGTCTCCCAGGGGCTACAGCATCAATCTTCTAGAAAGTACCGTCAGTTCCTCAGACTTAAGGTATGAATCGAGAATGAAAGCTGTATTTTACTTAAGAAGATATTACACTTTGTGGTAGACTACCAACGTAGCACGGTGTATTCAGCCTGCTCACATCTATTTCCTAACTGTAACCCCTGTGTCTTCTATGAGGTGGGCAGGGCAGGCGTTTTATGAGGGGGAGCCCCAGGCTGGGTCACAAAGAGGCCCGCACAACATCCAAGAGCTGGGAAGAAAACCCAGCCTTTCAAAAACCAGTCCAGGGCTCTCTGTGCGATTTTATTTTTAAACAGACACATAATTGGGTTTTAAACCCCTTACAAAATGAGGACAGAAATAGTGACCTATTGAGCAGGGCACTCACAAGCATGGGCAGCCAATGATAGGGGACGAATCCTGAACTGGTTATGTTTCCGCAGTGGCCAAGACTGAAGGTGCGTGCTCACAGTGCTGGCCACGCCATATTCTCAGATGAACCGCCCCCTCCCCCAAGCTCCAAGCAGGATGTGATCATTTTAAAGACGGACCCTTCCATACCTTTTCTCGGTGACCATAGTGCTCTGCATACCAAACCATGCCATAGAGACACAGGAAGGTGGTGAAAGCCTGGAAGAGAAAAACAAGCACATTTCATACATAATGTTGCACCAAAAAAAATCCCATTTCCCAGGATTTCAGGGTTTCAACAGTAACGCATACAAGACGGCTCGATGTGGTTTTGCCATCTCTCCTAGGACACCGGTTACACAATGGCAGAGATGAACCCCAGGAGTGTGTGTGTGTGTGTGTGTGTGTGAGAGAGAGAGAGAGTGGGGGAGGGCATCCCCCAAAGCTTCGGACACGAGTCATGCTGAGACCCTAGTGACACTTATGATGCCGATAATCAGAATGCAAGATCATTTTTCGATGGCGGGTAAAGTGGGATGCTTTCTCTGCATGGCTTTGCAGGTTTTTATATACTCTATGTCTGGTTCTCATGGCCCATCCTCTGCCGCCAGCGCTGGGAAGTTACAAGGACTCAGCTGGTCAGCTTCTGTGGGGAAGACGAGTTCTGAATGAGAAGGGAGTTTCATTCGGTCTGGGATCACAGTGGCGTGGGAGGGCATTGAGGACCGACGCCCACGGTGTCTGAGTGGGTGGCGGGCGCAGCGGGACACAGTTGCCCATGGCTCTGCACCACTTTCTCAACTCCTTTTTTGTCTCAGCGGCCCCACCCCAACCCCGGTTCTGGTTGCTTTTGTTTTTCCTCTTTGAGTCCATAGGAAAATACAGAGAAAACAAAACCGCTTTGGAAGCAAGCCCCGGAGTGAAATGAGAAGGGAGTGGTCTGTGGGTACCCAGAGGCAGGGACGACCTCTACTTCCCCGACAACTCCCCACCCACCTTGCACCGCACCCTAAATTATACTCTAATTTAAGCAAAGAACAGCATCTACGGAAATCCAAAGTCTTCAAACGTGCCAAAGCACTAAAAATCAGGGAGAAGTTTCTGGTTGCCTTGCTGGAGCACTGAAGGAGAGGGGTAGTGAGGACAGAGGAGTCCCCGCCAGGCCCTGCAGCCAGGCCTGACCTTCCCGACTGTAAGTGAATCACCACAACAAAACAACGCTCGTCCATCCCGGTTCTGTGTCTTCAGAATGCCTCGCCTTAGGAACTGACTGACACCGGGGAAAGAAAAGCATCACAGGAACACTTGAGGGTGGAGCCGAGCCTGCAGGGAAGGCTGGGGTGGGGGGCTCTGAATTCTCACCACCCCAGCGTGCAGTCCAACTCTGGCCCAGTTCCTGTCAGTCAGCCATGTTTACGGAGCGTCTGCTGGGTACACTGTCACCTTAAGTGCAAAAAAGACAGGAGTCCGAGTGCTCTGGAGGGCCTTCTTCTATGTCAATGAAGTGGGAATACTGGCGTGGTGGAGACAACATGAAATGTTAAGACCCACTGGTTCATTTTATTTTAAAGCCATATGCAAACTGGCGTAAATCTGCAGATGAGGGATTTAAAGAAAAGGAAGCTCATATCCTCCCCCATCAAAAAATCAGACAATGAATGAATAAATTAAGATGATAAAATGAAAATGACTTCTAACCTTTAACATATTCTAGGACTTGCTCAAGATTTCTAATCTACACCACCATTAAACGTACCATTTTCATGGGATGGAAAGAGTGGGGAAGCCTAGAGGATTTGCAGGGTATCAAGCTTATGTAGGTGTTCGCTCCTTTACAAAGAGCAAAATAGGCAAAATAGGTTTGGGGGTAGGGGGTGGGGAGTGGGGGGCAGGTTCCACCTCCCCAGACCAGAAGGCTGGCCAGATAGCTGTCACTCCACTAGACTAAGGGGCGGCGGCTCGGGGCTGGCTGTCATAGCGAATTCCGCCCACTGGAGGGCAGGAGTGTGGAGCTCTGCCTTCCCCAGCCCTGTCCCCGAGAGGGCAGGTGGGGGCAGCTGGGGCTTGCTCCCGAAGAATGGGCTTTGCAATTTGCAGGCAGGCAAACACTGGCAGGTGGTGAGCAACAGGTGCTTATCATCACAATCGCCACACAAAGAGCCTGCTGTGGTGGCCAAATTTACCACTTCACCCGGGTACTTAAGAGGCCCATTTCATGGGGCGCCTGGGTGGCTCAGTCGTTAAGCGTCTGCCTTCGGCTCAGGTCATGATCCCAGGGTCCTGGGATCGAGTCCCACATTGGGCTCCCTGCTCGGCGGGAAGCCTGCTTCTCCCTCTCCCACACCCCCCGGCTTGTGTTCCTGCTCTCACTATCTCTCTCTCTCTGTCAAATAAATAAAAAAAAAAAAAAAAAAAGAGGCCCATTTCACACTTGTCCCAAGGAGACAAAAGCTTGTAATTTACAGGTTTGCAATCATACCTGTGAAAATCTAGGCGCACATCCACTTAAAATGTCAAGGCCTGGATTTAAAAAAGCAATTGTACAGATTTTAAGAAAGGGAAAGGAAAAAAAGAGAAAGAAAAACATGTGGGAGGAGGGCCAAGGCAGCACACAGCCGGGGGGAGGGGGGGGTGTGGTGGCAATGAGGGCGTAGGCCTGGCTTGACTTCCAGTTAGAGTAATGAGCAGGCAAATATACACGACTGCTCAGACAACTGCTGAGGAGAAACTTACTAAGCAGCACAGGGCATCTCTGCTTCTGCATTCATCTCAAGGCCTGGATCTGTTCTCTTACCAAGCAAGGGGAATAATTAGGGGCTTTGTTTCTCTGGCCACACTTAACTCTTTATTGAATAAGGTTCACCTCCCTCCTGAGTTTGAGATCAATCTTGATGTTTAATAAAGGCCCTGAATATGGGCAATGGGGACCCCCAATCATCCCAGCCACCAATGGCCTCTTTTCAGGCCAGGTCCCCTCTATGGCACTCATCACTGATAACACTCATCAGGGGATTTGGCTTGGTCTTCAAAGCCCTGATCTCCTGGGTCTGTTTCTCAGGCCGGGGGCTCTTAAATGCGGCTGCTCCGAAGAATCCCATCCTCAGCCAGTTTTTCCTGCCCCTGTTCGGTTCCCCTAACCTAATCCCGACGCTCCAACCACGTCCTGTGCGCCAGTGGCCCTCAACTCGTTCACCTCCACTGCTGACCAAGTCTTCCCAGTGTTACTGGACAGACTGGAATTTCCAATGATACAGGACATCTTCGCCTCTAAGTTCTAAGGGCCTCTCAAACCCCAACACCCTAATCAAATTCATCTCCCCTCAACGCCCTAATCAAATTCATCTCCTTTCACTCAGTGGGCTTATCTGATATCCCCCCGTTTGTTATTACCACCAAAAGCCACCCAGGGGCACGAACTAGAAACCCTGGAATCACCCTCATGCTATCACAAGGGGGTGGCGTCCTGTGGAGCTGCTCTCTTGAACATCTCTCAGATACAGCCCTCTGGGGCGCCTGGGGGGGCTCAGCCTTAAGCGATGCCTTTGGCTCAGGTCATGGTCCTGGAGTCCCCCCATGGAGCCCCGCATCAATGGGGAGTCTGCTTCTCCCTCTGCCCCTCACCCCGCTCGTGTGTGCTCTCCCCCTCTCTCTCTCAAATAAGTAAGTAAATAAATAAATAAATAAATAAACCTTTAAAAAGAAATAAATCCAGCCCTCTCTCTGCGTCTTCCCATGCCACTGCCTTGGGTCAGCCTCTGTCATTTCTTGCCTGGGACCCTCAACACCCTCAGACAGCACCTCTCCTCCCTCCAGACTCTCCTACCCCATGCAGTCTTTCTCTGTGAACCAGTATCTTCCCCACTGAACGACAGTCCTTGGATCTCCAACTACAGACACACAAGAGTCCTTCCGAAGCAGATGTCCCTTGTCCCCTCCCCCACTTTACTCTCCTCCTCTCACTCCCCAAACAGGGTGCCATCTTCCTGAGACGCTGGGCACGGGCACCGCTGCGTGTCTTTGCATGTGCCAGTCTCTCAGCCTGCCTGGATGTCGCTCCTGGTCCCTATCTCTTGAACCCACTCCTTTATTCTCCATGCATTTGCTGAGTGAGTCCTATGCATCAGAAACTGTACTAGGGTCAGTGGGGGCAAGAGGACAACAAAATTTAGTCTTTGTAAGCAAGAGGTACAACGCTGAGGAGAGAATGTAAACAACCCAAAATTACATGACACTGAGGTTAGAACTCAAAGAAATATGTACCAGGTGCGACCGGTCCCCCAAGGGGACGTAATCAGCCCGCCTGACTGGGGCGCATTTCATGGAGGGTAGGAATTTAGTTTGGTCTTGGCATGAGTCACTAGGTAGAAAAAGCAGGGAAAAGCATTCAGATGGGGCAAAGAAAGCACCCTAGGTGAAGACAAGAGAAGTCTGGAAGGATGATTCGTTGAGGTGACTAAGAGCAGTCTGGGGTAGCCTGAGATTCAAGTCCAAGAGAGTGGGTATGATGAACGCTCCAGATGAAGACTGTCCTAAACACACACGTCAGAGTTCACATTTCAACCGGTAGGTTTTGTGGTGGGGATTCTTCCTTCTTGATACTTCTTTCTACACGGAGGAGCTTTGCTGGTATAATATTCCTGCTTCTCTCCACCCCTCACCCCTCCACCACTCTTTCGCAGAAGAGTTCTCTCTTCACCGACGGGGGAATCTGAGATAAGGAAGCTGGACATTTCCTGTCCTTCCTTGGGTGCTGGGCCACTGGCACGGTGTGAGGAGGCCTGCTTCCTGGGGCCAGAGAGTGTGTCTCATTCTGGACCTCACTCTTCAGAAGCCCCTTGTTGCCGTGCATCTAAAGCTGATACTGAAAAGAGTATCAGCTTTGGACAAGAGATCTTGTCCAAACCTCAGTAATAGAGATGCTATGCTGCTCTCCACAGCCTTCTTTCACCCTATCTTTTGAACTATTCTGAACTGAAAAACGCTGTATTATTGGGCCTTCTCCAGCCCCCGAAAACAGGCAACGGTTCTGAGCAGGGAAAGAAATTCGGATCCGAGTCCCGGAAGATGGCGTGGCGGCAGCAGAGAGAATGGCGCCAAGGGGCAGAATGGGGAGGAAGTGCAGGTCCAGATAGCTGCAGGGACAGCGGGGATGGGGGCGTGGGGACGGAGCTGGATGGACAGAAGCTGGTGACCCACTGGTTTCAAGAGGGACAGAGGAGAGGAAGCAGCCCTTGAGGTTTTTAGCTAGGGCACCTGACGGACGGGAGAGCATCCACTGTAACCCTTCAAAACCCTGCTCACATGGTACGTCCAGGGAGACTTTGGCAGCTCCCCAGCTCGTGTGGTGCTCTCTAGTGCTCCCTCAGCTCTAGGTACACATCCTTTGTACTGTCTGTCACATAGGAACATGATGAGTTTGCATGGGTCATTCCCATCTGGACCTGGAGATCCTTGGAAGGGGACGCCGTTGTGGGGAGAACAGGAACTCTCTTGCCGGGCTGTCTGGGTGTGGGCCCTAGCTCTGCCACGTACTATCTGTGTGACCTTGAGCCAGTTAGTGAACCTCTCTGGGCCTTTATTTCATCTATAAAAGATGGCATATAAAGTACCTCCCCTCCAAGTAATCCTCAAACATGCCATTCATGAGAAGTGCTTAGACCAGCGTCTGGCTCACAGTGAGCATTAATATAATCTTATCACCACCGTCTGCTCTCTGTGCGGCTCACTATCAGAGGCTGCTTTTTTTTTTTGTCCTAAAGATTTTATTTATTTGACAGAGACACAGTGAGAGAGGGAACACAAGCAGGGGGAGTGGGAGAGGGAGAAGCAGGCTTCCCGCCGAGCAGGGAGCCCGATGCGGGGCTCGATCCCAGGACCCTGGGACCACGACCTGAGCCAAAGGCAGACGCTTAACGACTGAGCCACCCAGGCGCCCCATCAGAGGCTGCTTTGATGAACACTCAGTAAACGTCCTGTGAACAAATGACAGACTTGCAGGGACCACGCCAGGTGAAGGAGAGACCAAAGCGGTTCACGTCCTCGATAAAGTGACAATCACGCAGGCTCCAAGGCAAACCAAACGTCACCAACGCAAGGGAGCATACGCTAAGTGTCAAATAAGTAAAACAGAAAAGTCTCTCAAACTTAAAGAGAGGCTGGAGGAGCCCCTGCAGGGCAGATGACCGGAGAGGGCTTCTGGCCATGGCCTTGGGGAGACCTTGCTGGCCACTGATTCTCCAGGGTGGGGCTGTATGCGGGTGTTGTGAGAAGGGATGCTGCCCCCGTCCCAGGAGTCCTGCCTCCTGCCTCAAGCTCTCGGTGGTCTCCAGGGCTCCGGCACCGGGTGAGGGCAGCACCCACCTCAGCCCGCCCTCTGCAGTTGGTCCTGCTACAGTTCACGCACCTAATGCACGTGCTAGGGAGACATGTGAGAAGCACACGGTTAAAATCTCCAGGCTCCTCTGATGCGTTCCCCTAACCAATCCTGACATCTAGTCTCACTGGGATGGAAAAAATACATTTGAACATTAATTCTGGTGTACAGGTACAAAGCAGATCATTATTCCCTTTCACTGTTTAAGATAAAACAGGACAGAACAGGCTCAAGGTGCTCTGGCACAGTTCAGATTTCTAACAAAATAGATGCTGTGAAATGAAAGGCAATAAAAAACACCTTAAAAATACAAAGTTTAGTCTTGCCAAAAAAAAAAAAAAGACCCGAATCTGATTAAGCCTCTAGATTCAGCTACTAATTTGCAGAAAAAAAAACAGAGGACAAAGACATCTGTTAAATCAGAGTACACTAGAAAATCAGTAAAATCCAGACTGTGGGAAAATCTACAGGACAACAAAGCTAGGTCCTTCGACAAACTGTAAGGGAGACAGCTAGAGACAGGAAAAACTATATAATAAGAGACTTAAAAGGCCTGCTGACCAAGTCTAACAAGTGGATGTTGATTCAAATAAACTACTAAAAATACCAAATTTTAAAAAATAGTAGAAGTCTGAACATTGACTAGGTATTTGATAGCATTATGAAATTATTCTTTTTCAGATGTGATAATGGTATGGTGGTTGCATTAAACAAAAAAACATTCTGACCTTTTAAGGATGCATCCTGAACTATTAAAGGTGGGTCTGTTTCAAAATAATTCAGTGTGGGGATGGTGGGTGGGGAATACAAGGAAACAAGAAACCCATGAGGTGGCCACTGTTGAAACTGGATGATGGATGGGTACCTGAGGGGTTGTCTACTTCCACATACATTTGAAATTTTCTATGATTATAACGAAAGCCTGAGTTCATTTTCTGGACCAAGTAAGTGAAAAGTGAAGAATGTTAAGCTTAAATGTAAAATAAGACTTTTCCCCAAAATAATAAAACAAATTAAGAAGAGTAGACACAGAATGGTAGGTTAAGATCCTACTTTACTTTCTTTTTGTTTAATTTAAATTCTATTAACACAGAGTATAAGTCTCAGAAGTAAAGTTTAGAGATTCATCAGTTGCATAGAACGCCCAGTGCTCATCACATCACATGCCCTCCTTAATACCCATCACCCAGTTATCCCATCCTCCCACCCCCGTCCCCTCTGTTTGTTTCCTACAGTTCATCATTTCTTATGGTTTGTCTCCCTCTCTGATTTTGTCTTTTCTTTTTCCCTCCCTTCCCCTATCAGAGAAACATAATTATCATTTCATTCATTCATATGTGCAATTTAAGAAACGAGACAGAGGATCATGGGGAAGATCTTACTTCATTTTAAAGAAGAGGAAAAAGTCCCAGGACAGTGGAGCTAGAGGTCCCCAAGGGCTCTTCCCTTCAGAGAGGAAAATCATCCCACAGGGCTTGGCCCATCAAAGTCAGCCTGTGGGGCAGAAACTGCATGGTCTGAATACCTACAAGAACATCTTACATGGCCTACAAACCACAGTCCATCATCTTGTACATAAACCCTTGAACAGCCATACATATGCTACGGGGCACTCTAACTGTCCTTGTCCTCTCATGGAGCTGAATTCCCATAAGCGAAATAAATGCACATATGGTGCACCTGCAGAAGGCATCTGACCAGCACCTGCCCAGGTGACCTGTTTTGGATGCTGGGTGGTCTCATGTGTTTAATCTTGACCTTTAGACTAGTGGCTGGTTTTGGGTTATTAGAAATAGAAGGTCCTGTGTGCAAATTTCTGAAAGAACTTGATGCACACGGGTTTTCATTGTTGTTGTTTTGTTTTTTTAAAGAGACACCATGGGGAGTGTTGCTAACACCTCTGGGTAAAAAAGTAATGACTTACCACACAAAGAAGCCAAAGCACAACATAGAGTATTTGGGTCTTAGAGAAGAGATCTTGTCCAAATTTTATGCACACGATAGCTTCCAGGAAACCAATGACCCTAGTCAGACAGAACGAGAGATTAAATATTAATTCTTCTTATCATATGCATTATACATATGCATATATACAGTGCAGGGCTGAGCAAATGCATTATCAGAAATATGCACTATTCCATCATTTTACGCCCGTAGCAGGCTCCTCACAAAATGATACATGTTCTATTCCACAGCAATTTCTTCAGAAATAACACATATATTAGATTTAATACAAAGTTTATTTTATTGTTATTTTTTCTTAAGACTTAATTTTTTTAGAGCAGCTTTAGGTCACAACAAAACTGAGGGCAAGTATAGAGATCTGCCATGTACCTCCCTGCGTGTCACAACCCCTCCCCCAGAAGGGTCTATTTGTTACAACTGATGAGGCTACAGGGACATATCGTCATCACCCGAAGACCACAGTTCACATTAGTGTTTACTCCTGGTGTTGTACATTCTGTGGGTCTGGACTAATGTATAGTGATGTGCATTTACCATTATAGGATCCTGCCCAAATAACCCTGTGTTCTGCCTATTTGTCTCTCCATACCTCCCCAGATATAATAAAATATTTTTCACATCTTCCTTTCTCCCAGAGCAAATATTTTAATAGCTGGAAGCCTCCAACTCAGCCCATCACCATTGGGGTGAACTGTCACTGCCCCTGTTGGAACCCACTTATTCTGCCACTCGATCTCCTCAGCTGTTGGCAAGTTTTCCTTGTCTCAGGCTGGTATCTGCCTCCTTTTGCCCATGGATCCTAACTCTGTCCTCCAGTCGTACAGGGTGAGTTCGAGCCTTCCGAGTAGTCTTTCAGGGACTTGAAGGCAGCAATCACATTCCCTCCCAGACTTCGAAGCATTTCCAGATTTCATATTCCCCGTTCTTGCTGACCGTATAAATAATCCTTTATCCTCCAAACATAAAAATGTTAAAGAAAACAATTTTGTTTTACTCTTTAGTTAAAAGAGGAAAGGGGGGGTGGAAGCCACTCTTACGTTCTGCATCTTCACTCATGAATATAAAGATCAGATCTTTACTAAGGTTCAGAGCTTGAAGGTAAGAACAGAGGAAGTGAGGATAATAGCGCTGGCCGTGTGATCCTAAAGACTACCCAAGAATGCTGATTTCACACAACTCCACTTTAGGTGTTCCTCACTCGAGATGGAATCTGGTCAATCAGGGATTGATGTAGTTGCACAGATACTCTCTCAAAAGGCAAGAAGGGGCTCAGGAGGTCCTCGGTCCCCCTACCCAAGGGCACAAAGGTCACTGCCATCATCAAATGTATGGATGGCTCTAAACAACGGAACACCTCAAATCTGAACCAAAGCAGAAAATCTCCTCAACGTATCGTTAGAGAGTTTGGGGTTCTTTTCCCTTAGCCGCGACCAAACAATGTTTAGGAGTGGTTGGCCTGAATCTCTAAAGACCACCTCCGCCCCATGCCACCCCCAACAAAGTACATGTGTGAGAAGGCATCATTCTATCTGGGATACAGTGCTGGGCTGACTGTCACCAGAATGCTCAAGTCAGGACTGTGAGGTGCCGCTAGATGGCAGCACAGAGCAGGCAGGTGCCGGGAGGGAGGGCGGGGAGGGGGCTCCGAAAGAATACTTAACCTTTGGCTGGGGCTTCTTGAAGAATTACAAGAGCCAGTGCTCAGCCCAGGAAGTCAGTGTGCTCATCTGCCCTTCAGCCAGACGAAACACCCAGTTTACTGTGAGAGTTTTGGGTATTCAACTCGATCCAGTCACCTTTCAAAACCACAGGAACTAGGGCTGTGATTCTCAAACTTCTATGACCTGAGACCCAGAGCAAGAAACACATTTTTCTTTGTCACACACACACACACACACACAACTGAAACAAAAGTTCCACAAAATAATTTGTTCCTTTACTTTGATATTTTTGTATTCTATTTTGTTTTAAGAAAACGCTGGTCAGGGCCCACCTAATTGACTTCATAATGGCCGGAAGTTAAAGACAACAGAGCGTTTCAGTCAGCGACTTCAGGGTTAGGATTTGCTCCCTCGTGCTGAGGGATCTTAGCTAAGCCGTGGTCTCTGCATGTGGCCTTCTCAGTGAGCACGTGATCACTGAGCAAAGTTCCGTGGCAGGAAGTGAGGGGAAGGCAGAAGAGATGAGGCACAGAGCAACATGGGTCTTGAGGGCCACATGAGGGTGTGGCTTTTAGTCTGAGGAAGGGTTTCGAACAAAGGGCAAAGCAAACATGACTCAATTTCCATTTTAATATGGTCATTCTGGGGGTAGGAGCAGGGAGGCTTCTAATGTGGGGAGAGGACCAGGGGAGTTGCTATGGAGGTGTGAGAAGCAGTGGGAACTGGGATGCATTAAACCCAACAATCACATGGACCCTTTCCCACTAGTCATTGCCCCCCACCCATTATCCCTGGCCCCCTGAGGGAATCCTGATAAAGTCCTTACGGAAGGCTGACGTTACTTTGTACAAGACCCAAGTGGCTGCTCGTTTAGGGCTGAGTCCAAAGGTTTGGGCACGCAGGCAGCCTGTGTTACTGAGCCTGTCAGCGGGGACCGCACAACCTCCTCACCAAGGCGGTGGGGTGGGGCGCAAATTTACATCTCTCTGATCTTTACCAGACTGAACTCGGTGGCCAGGCCCTGGTTTGATGGAATTCAGTCGGGGCTGTTACTCCCTTTGATGCCTCTGCCCATTGTTATCTTTAATCAGCAAGGTTAGAAGGCAGCCAAACATCTGGGCTGCCTGAGGTGCTCCTGCCTGGGGACAAGGCTGGTCTGCTGACTCGGACCTTCTCGGCTCCCCTACCCTGGGGAACCTGCTCCTTCCAGACATGGTACAAATAAAGATGACATTAACGTAGAGTCTGGGGTAAGGAGCTCCTCACTGGGTGGGATAAAAACGTAGGCAGGTACATTACAGAAACTTGAGACACAAAAGCACTGGGCATACGAGCCAACCCGGAGAAGCAGAGGATGTTTTCAGTTGGCCAACAAAACCCACTTTAGGAGGATGCCACAGCCTAGGTGCACCTGGCATGTACTGAACATACTGCCCCCTGGCTGCACGAGAACCCGCTGTTGGGATGGCTCGCGGTGGGACCCTCCGCAGTGGAAAGGAGACACGTACACATGGGACACATCTACCACACAACCACACAGGTCCCCAGGAACTGGGTTCCGGTTCTGGTTAGGGTGAGCAAAGACACCTTTTTAGAAGTGATACTGAGCTAAGCTTTACCAGATAGAAATGAAAGGTCCAACTGTGTTCCATGGAACTTTCTGACTTCCCAAGATCCCCAGGGGCAGGGTGGGAAGGGTGGGAAGGGGAGCAAAGGGTCCTGGGTAGTTCTGCTCAACTGTTTTTGCTATTAGGATTTGGGGAAAGATATCATTTGGGGAACAGGATTCAGCTGCTAAAAAAATTTTTGTACCTACTGCCAGAGGTTTTGGGTTGTCAGTGGAGGTGTTTTTGAGGAAGGAAGCAGGGAGTGGCGGGATCGAGAATGGTATGAAGAGAGAGACAGTGGGAAAAGGCAACTGGCTATGAAGTTACCCTAGGAGTGTGAGCACACAGGGCATGACACAGGGATGGGCAGATGGGAGTGGGGGGGGGAGGTGAGGGATGCAGGAGGCTGTTAACAAAGGTCAGCAGCAAGAGACTGGGGACCAGGTCGTGCTGGGAGAGATCAGAATGGGATGAGACCTCCCACAAAGGTCTGTTCCCCTCACACACACCCTCCTCCTGGAAGGACCCTGTGCCTCACAGCTGTTGTCCATCCTTCCGGGAGAGGTGGGGGGAAACCCAAAAGAGGCTGGAAGAACAAGCACAATTGTAAGAAATTGTGGAGAGGAGTGAGACGTGGAATGGGCAGCCAGCAGAGGAAACTGAGAAGGAACAGAAAAGTAGGAGGAAAACCAGGTCAGCCGCTGCAGAAGGAACAGTTTCAAGATGGCAGATGCTGGGGAGAAGACAGGAGAGCTGCGGATGGAGGAAGGACTTACTGATTTGGGACTGGCCTTGGCCAGAACAGTTCAGCAGAGCACCGGAGATAGCAGCTGATTGTCAAAGGGGCACCAGTAGGGTTAGGATGACATGGAGCTAAGGGCAGTTCTGACAGTGAGGCAGACGCAGTCCTGGAGCCCCCCAGGCTCAGTAGACTCTTACCCAACACCCCCAAGGTCCCACCCAGGAACTTTCTCGGGAAGGAAAAGTGACGGCTCACTCCTGCGACAGCCAAAGCTTTTGGATACCCTCCTTCAGGGCCACGTGATCAAACATCTTTTCTTTATACATCAGGCTACTTCTCTCTTGTTTGGAAACTCAATTATGATGAGGGATGCGTGGGGAGAAAGACGAAGATAAAGATGGTATAAAGTGTACCCCTGGGGAATCTGTTCATATCGGTCTGGCCCTAATGCCCCCACACAGCTGGAAATAGCATAATGGGACTTTCTAAAGAGAGGAAGGGCCGGCTTTTTCACACTACTGCTTTCTCCTTGGTGGGGTTCCCATTCCTTAGCTGGATGGAGTCCTATCTCTCTGCTGGGCACAGTGTGTTTGAGTATAAAAGGCTTAAAAGCTCAGGTCTATGGCACAATTGTGGGAGACCACATTGTAAGTCTGTATTTAGTTACATCAGCGAGTAACTAATACAAACTTTTTCTGCGTATAATATTTACAGAAGAAAAAAGTGCCCTCTTCAGGAGAAAAAGTTGTGGAATGGTGGGAAAGACACCTCAGGTGGTCCTGTTTGCCGTTTCCCCTCCCCCGCCCACCTCCCCCAAAGCAAAACTCCACTGTCGCTATAAGGGGCACTCTACTCTGTTCCCCCACATCTCCACACCGTGCTAAAGCCTGAAATTACTCTCAAATTAGTGAAAAGGAAGCTACAAAGCAGTTCCTAGTTATTAAAAGAAATGAGACATTTACACATTTGCAGTTTTGTTTGTTTTTGTGAGAGAGAGAGTGTGTGTGTGTGTGTGTGTGTGTGTGTGTGAGCTAGGGGAGGGCAGAGGGAAGAGAGAGAGAATCCTCAAGCTGGGTCAATGCTCACCGCTGAGCCAGATGCAGGGCTCGATCTCACAACCCTGAGATCATGATCTGAGCTGGAATCAAGAGTCGGATGCTTAAAGGACGGAGCCACCCAGGCAGCCCAACATTTGCTGTTTTGATAGGAGATGGAAATAACACAAGACGAAGGCAGCAGGGAGACAGGAGGAGGGATGGGGCAGAAGAGGGGAGGTGGTTTTCCGAGGGGCAAAGCTGCAGAGAGAGGAGACAAGGCTCAGGCCCGGTTGTTTCTCCTTCGCCGGCTCACGGGAGGTGGCTCTTGCCAATGTCCACACGGAGGATGACTATGTGTGATTCATGGAGAGGCCTTTGTTATTTTCAGCATGACCCACTAGTTCTCAAGATTCCGGAGTCCTGATACCACTCTACTGGGAGCTCTCCATTCTCAAGAAGCATACTAAATAAGCCCAATGAGCACTCCTTTGCATTTTGCTTTATTTTATTTGGTCACTTTCAACAAGTTGCGACTTTTCTGTCAGCAGCGTTTTCTGCCGCTCAGGCCCTGTTGATTTTGCCATTTCTCCTACCACCGGGGATTGTATTTTTTGGCCGCCTGATGAGAAACCAACTTTGCTGTGGCACCACCCCTCTCTCTCATCACTCTCTCCTTTCCCTCAACAGGTAAACAGAGATGGTTGTGTGGAAAATACGTCTACTCGCAGCAGAGTGAAGGCTCTGGCAAGGACTTCAGAATATGAAGAGAAAACCGCATGTGGACAGAAGGTTCCCGTAAGCGGTGGAGGAGGACTCAAATGCTCTGTAGACAAGAAGATGCAAAACCAATCTTCTTGTCCTCTGTGGGCGGGACAGGAAGGAGAGCCCACCTCCCTCCTCTGCACGACTCAACAAATGTGCCCTGACAGGGCCTCTGCTCAGTCTATGTAAGTAAGTTCTCTCTCCTGTCAGATCACTGAACAGTGGAAAGCTAATCCATGTTATCACGCGGTAAGCTACTCTGGGTATGAAAATCAGTTGATAGTACAGAATGTATGAGAAATAAGGACAATGACCCTTTGTGTTCTGGGAGGGGGGAAAAGCCTGCCTACAGCTAACTCTGAAATGAAAGCTGGACACACACACACACACACACACACGCACAGAAATGTTTACAAGGAATAACATAGAAATGTTAACCATGATTATCTCTGACCGGGTGACTTCTTTGGATCATCTTTAGTTTCTTCTTTTGCCACTTTTTTTTTTTTAAACATTTTATTTATTTATTTGACAGAGAGAAATATAGCGAGAGAGGGAACACAAGCAGGGGGAGTGGGAGAGGGAGAAGCAGGCTTCCCGCCGAGCAGGGAGCCCTATGCGGGGCTCGATCCCAGGATCCTGGGA